CATTTAGATTTCAGTGAATGTTGGTAATAAAGCATTAAATGTGTATTTGGATGCATAGGTATCTTGCCAGTAAACCAATCAGGAATTTAGGAACACACTGGGACTTTTTACTTGTTATTTTGTTTCTCCACCTATGTACTGAATGTACATTGGCACAAGTGTAACTTCTGAAGTTGTCTCTCTGAGAGCGTGCACATCCCACATTTGATTTTGGTGGTGCTCCGTATATTACAAAATTCCTACGTAGGAAGGTGAACTTTAGACACTCATATCTGGTGACTGTACAATGGTTGTGTAACAGGCAAAGTCATTTGCATGCTGATTCCAGGCTGATGATGAGCTCTCAGTTGAGGGATTTTGTGATGAATCAAAGCTCTGGAGCTGCCTTCCTCAACTTGGTATCTTCCAATATGTTGGACTTCAACTTGTATAATTCCCAGCCATGTGACTTTAAGTAAACTCCCCTGAGTTCCCCTTCTTCAAATACGATCTTCTTTAAAAGGGTAAGAAAATACATTATTTCTTGGTGATAAAAATGCAGGCAAGGTTGAGGTTCTTTTTCTTTCTTTTACAGAAAGTAATAGAAAAATTACAGAATTCAGGGAAAAGGGGAAAAATACATCGAAAACCCCTACAAAAACAAAACAAACCAACAAAAAAATGGGGAAAACTATTGATACACATCAATCAAATGTAAACAGATTTCTAAAGTTAGGGAAAAATATTGTCTAACATTAAAAGACGTTGCAAAATATATGCCCCAGGAAACTGCCTTGAGTCACGTTTGATTAAGAGATAAATTGCCTTTTTAAAATGGATGTCGCATATCTCGTGAACCCAATCCTTACTATCAGAAATATTATACTTTTCTAATTCTTCAAAATAATTTTCTTAGCAACACCCCAGGCCAGAAGCAACCATAACTCCTCAAAAATAGTCAAATTCCAGAGTTTCATATTAATCAATGAGTCCTCAATTATTTTACATCATCACTAGAGAAAGTCATTGTGCAACTATACTGTCTCTCCTTTAGCAGTGATTTTTTTTATGGTAAGAGAGGTTATGGATGAAATGTTGGTAAGACGCAGAGAGTTACAAATAGAAGACAAGATCATCTGAATGGCAGAATTCCATGAACGGGACTAGACAATGGCACACTAAAAATCTTTTTGATTATATATTAAGATCCAAAGTCATGGGAAAGCAGCATTGCAAGATTTCTGCTTTCTTACCTGTGCCTTCCTCAAAACGTCTATGAAGATGCTAAAATCTCATGTGAAATTTTGCGCAAGATCTGAAGTGGAAGGCTCAAAATCTTGTGAGATACGGCAGTCTTGTGAGATTTTGGACAATTTAATGAATAACAAGGTTGGGGGGAGGGAATCCTGCATATTATGAGGTGGCATTCAGCAACGGAAGGGTTTCTCAAATCTGTCCTAAGACAAACAGGGCTGTATATAATGCATATTTCAAGTTAGTTCAGTAGTAAATTGGCTACCCAAACAGTTAACTTCCAAATAGATGGAATAAAATCCTGATAAATTGCAATCCTTTGACAACCCAGCCATAATATGTTACATTATCTCCACTTCCAGGTCCAAGCTCAAAAGCATTCTCTGGGGGGAGTACATTACAATAACTCAACCATCGCCATGACCAAGAACTGTAATTCCAGGCTCAATTACAGTCTTAATTCAAGGATTACCTGCAAGGATGTCATTACTACTTTGCATTCCTCATTTCCCAGAATAGTCTATTTTGAGAGCAACTTTATTCTGGGCTTGGGATACGGTCAGCAACTGCCTCACCTTGCTTGGGGCATAGTTAAGCAGGGTCCGGTATGGACAGTACCTTTTTCATTTATTTACATTATGTATTTAAAAGGTTTGCACGGGTACTCATTTTAAAATGCAGTTCTGGGTGGCTCACAAGAAAGGTTCCCAAACTAATAAAAACATAACACAATCCAAACCTGGCAGCTTAGTCATTCCCTTGGGATGCCCCAACTATCAACCCCAAACATCTTCATTCCATCCCAATGGCTGGGTAAAAAGCCTTCCCAGAAGGCTAAAAGGCTGGGTACCTTGTGTGTGTGTGTGTGTGAGTGTGTGTGTGAATGTATTCCATAAGGTAGAAGGTGGCTTCCAAAGGCCCACTAGATGGCAATATTTCAGGCAAGTGACCTGGAGTGTCTTTACCCTATCTGGTAGGCTAGACAGATACTCTCAAGGAGAAGTCCCACAAAGAACCCAGTCCCGTGCCATGTAGGACTTGGGAGGTGGTAACCAGTGCCTTGAATTGCACCTCGAAGGAAATTGGGAGCCATTGCAGCTTGCAAAGCAGAGGTATAATGTAGGCAAAACTGGAAGCATCCAGAACTGTGTGCACAAATCTGTTCTGCAGCAGATGTAGCTTCCAGATAGACTTCAAGGGTAGCCCCACGTAAAGTGCATTGCAGTAATTCAGTCAGGGAGTGACAATGGAACAATTTTCCTTGGGAAAACATCAAGGAATTTCAGAGTTTAGGCTGGGAAGTTGAAGGAAAAAAACAAACAAACAAACCACACCCGCCAAAATAAGGCAGGAGCAAACTGCTTCTGTACTTTTGCCGAGAAAGTTGCATGATCCTACGCCATCCAGCCAGCCAGGAAGGCAACACTGAAAAACAGACAAACAAACAAATAAATAAATATCAATTCCTTTGTAGACAAACTGGTGTCTTCCAGAAGTTTGAAACATTCAGTATTAAATATATATCTTTATTTATGTACAACTAAAGTATAAATTTATGAAAGCAAATAACAAGTTGCAAAACAGGACAGTAAATTCAGTTGCAATTGAAATTAAAACCACTATCATTTACATCATTTGATGTTGCTTCAATTTTAATTAGCCATTGTTTCAATAACGTGCTTATGTGTCCCCCAAGAATACCTTCTGATCACATATTGTTGAAGACCAGGTGGGGGGATAACTTAAAACTTCACTGGGAGACCCCCTTTTCCCAAATATTTCCCAGTAAAAGGTATGTACTACAGGCTGCTTCCAGTAAAGCTGGATTTCATGACTTACCAAGATAGTCTGTCTACCGCAGGGGTCTTCAAACTTGGCCCTTTTATGACTTGTGGATTTCAACTCCCAGAATTCCTCAGCCAGACACGTTGGCTGAGGAATTCTGGGAATTGAAGTCCACAAGTCATAAAAGGGCCAAGTTTGAAAACCCCTGGTCTACCACAACCGGGAAGTTCTTGGCTGTTTTAGCAAGGACTTCTGCCTTCAGCTCAGCTATAGGAAAAGATAGGAAAATCAGTAGCAAAACTAGGCATGTAGCCATTCAGTTACATTAAAATCCCACTCAGGGTAACAAGAAAATATTATAATATGGAAATAAAAATACAACGGTTTCTTTTTATCCCATATACTTTGGTTCTAACAAACGGAATACTACTATTCTTTACAACTTACATGCACGGTACTGGTATCTTTCTCAAATCTTGGCAACATCTTGATGTTCTTTTTACTAGCAATATATTTAAGCTTTTCAGAATCCATGATTCCTATGTAAATGTAGCCTGCAGGAATTAACATGCACAATTATCAGTAAGAATAGCATTTGCATGTCATATGGAATATATTGCAATTGTCTGGAAATGTAATTCATAACTATATTCTATTTGGATGAACATTTATGTCTTATAAATTTAGGCTTGATTTCAAGTTAATATATACAGCTTGGAGCTTTATTTAACACTGGACAGTTGCAACATTACAGATCAAATGTCACTGGTGGAGTTTTAAATCATTCAGGGTATTCAACTTACAAATCACAAAGTATTAAGAAATCACTGGGTTGTAACAAAACAACCAGCTGTGTTCATTTATTTATTGAGTAAAATGATCCAAAGCTACATATTTGCGCATGGCCCTTTGGATCATTCTCTTCAGTATTTAAATGAACAGGTTACCATATTTTTTGACTCATTGTATTCATGGTCTCTTTATCTAGTTTTAGGACTTGTGTGGAGAACAGATCATGTTTTAGGTCATATTTATTCTGAAATTTTGAAAATTCAAAAGGGTTCACAAATTTTTAAGCATTACTGTATGTGGCTCCTTGTTTTGCGCAAGCCTGTATTGTACACTGTACACTTTTTTTTTTCCAAAAAGTTTTATTAATTTTGAAATATCCCCCCCGCTTACAAATATAAACATACATTAATACAACTTTAGTATTATAAATTTTACAAACATAAACGTTAATATTGCAAAACAGCCCGGCAACCCCCTGTCCCCGTGTCCGCCCTCTTTTCTCCTCCTTCAACCTCCCTACACATCCCACCTCCTTCCCTCTCCTCTTCCTACGGACACGGTTTGGGGGCGCTAACCGAGCATCAGCTCGGCAGCACCCCCTCCCCGCATCCGCCCTCTTTTCCACTACCTACCTACTTCCCTCCTAACTCTCCTCTCCTCTTCCTCTCCCTCCCTTCGGATACGGTTTAGGGGTGTTAACCGAGCGCCTTATATAATTCTCCATACATCAATACTCCTAATTTAATACTCATTTCTACATTAATGCTCAAAATTATTTTATTTCTATTTCTACCCTCCCTCTCACCCCTCCCCCGGACTTCCCAGAACTGATTACAGGGTTAAACACACATCATCCCAAGTCTAAATATTACTACCCAAATATAAAGCAATCAAGTATAAACATACTTTAACTCAAATAAAAACAATCAAATATAAGCATATAAACATATAAACTCTAAGCATATAATCTATCCATCTTCCCCAAACCCAAATATCTTAAAGTTAATCTTTGCCATTTCTGCAAAATAAAAAACAACCAATAATCTTGCTGCTATACATTTCAATACACTGTACACTTTTAATGGCACTGAGCAACACTTGCCATTGCAGTGACCTTTGTGGCAGACCGTGGTACCTAATGGCAGTGATTGTCAACCTTTGGTGATTCTTCTTTCTTCTTCTTTTTCCAGCTGACAACCTCCAAATACCCAGTGGTGGTAAAGATGGGACATGCTCATTCTGGAATGGGAAAGGTGAGGGTGTAAAAGTTCTCAAAAGCTGAGCCCGAGTACTCTTGAGTGTTTGAGAGTATACAAACCACCATCCTGCAATAAAGGTCATCCAGATATTCCTTTAAGATATGTTGATGTAGCCCTTTCTAAAGATCTTTCCCCACTTGTGTTTAACTATAGCATAAACATCTTTTGGTAGCAACAATTTTTTTTTCTACCATGTTTCATGATCTTGCCTTCCTGTCATCCCCAACTTTCTGAAATGGGCTTTCTCAGTCATCCTTGGCCATATTAGGGTTAAAGTAGCATTTCCCTATTCTTTTGATACCATCCAAGAGTAGCCTCAAAGTATTAACTTCTGTTAGGCTTACCCATTACCTCAGAGTAGGATTATCAGTTGTTCAGCAGAAGGAGGCTCTTTTGTCCTCACGTCCTTTATCTAGCAGGCATAGCCTTAACATCAAAAATTGTCCAGCTCTTTGGGTAGCTCTCCTCAAGCAGTTTTTCACTGTGGCACAGCATTTCCCTAAGTGCTAAGTCCAAGTTAACAAGCTCAGCACTGTGAGCTTATATAGTACTCTCCTACCAATACGACAGCTGCCTGAAATTCACAAGACCTTAATTACAGATTGAAGGCGTTTGCCTCTAAAGGGCTAGCACCTTCTTCTCAATGTGTATTGTGTACCTGTTTACTCACTTGTAATCCCTTCCTCTCCAATGAATAAAAATTCAAATACTAAATAGTGAGTCTTCATCCAGTGTGTCCATTTATCCTCTTTTCCAATTGTCCCCATCAGATATCTGGTAACCCTGCCTTGGAGGGGAGTCATGGGATTGGCAGTGATCTGAAACTGAGGCCTAGAGCCAGGCACGGGGATTTTCATTGGGGGTCAACCATTTTCACACTGTTAAAATTTTCTGCTTGCTCAAAGCAGTTTGACTCAGCAGTGGAGAGAGGGCCTACAAGGCAACTCAAAGGTTTTTTTGTTTTTTAAAAAATGATCTAGATTAATTAGTTTTCCTTCCTCTTTGTTTATCTCGGTATCTGTTACATGCTGATCACTTAGATCCCTGCTCTGCCTGGAATGCAAAGTTTATTACCTAGACCACAGAGTTGCTAAGCTCCTGCTTTGCATCTCTTCCCAAGTTGCAAGTAACATAATGTTCTGTTCTTTTCTCCTAGGATATTTTCATTGTTGAGACAGAAACCCGTTAGATTGTAGGGCATTCCCATTTTGGCTCTGAGGTCCCCATTTGCTCTCCTTCTTAGGGGGCAATTGTGGGAAGAATAATCTTTCCTCCCAATAACTTCTGTCCCAATTAGTCACAAATAGATTTTTCCAGCAACTCCAGCTGCAATTTATAATGGATTCCTCTTTTGTTTAGGAACAAGTATAGAAATTGATTTTGTTTGTTTCTTTATTTAACTGTACTTATGACCTAGCCCAGTCCTGGAGGCCTTGGGCAGCATAAAACCACAAATAAAGACCAAAACAAAAAGAACCCACAGTATAATGAAAACACCACGAGAAAGCAAAAGCAAACTCAGGATAGCTACCCACAATCATTCAACTGGGACCAAAGACTTGTTAGAATTGAGCTTTTGAGCTGTTTCCAAAATATCTGCAAAGTGGAGGCTTAGAAACTTTTGTAAGGAAGATATTTCCACCATGAAGGCCTGCTGTCTGATCCATACCTGCTATACCTCACAAAATGAGTGTGTGGGTGTGGGTGTGGGGAGGCAGGGTTGGCAGATCTTCTCTGGAAGACCAGACTGGATGAGTACAATTGGCTGGAGAGCTGTTGCCTGATGTTTGGGAAAACAATAACAACAAGAAACAAAAATAAAGGAACAAAAATTGACAAGAACTAGACAAGAACAGAAGAGAAACAAACCCACACAATCCAGGCAATTTCACTCATTGTTGATAAAGGCCTGGGAGAAGCCAAGTCTTCAAGGCCCTTCAAAACACCAGCAGAGTGGGAGTCATCTGGATCTCAGGGACAGCTTCATTCCAGAGAGCAAGTTCTACTACAGAGAAGGGGCACTTCTGGGGTCCTGATAGAGGGCATTATTTAATCAAAGGAACTCAGAGAGCGCCAATCCTGCCAGATTAAATCAGGCCAGTTGATACTATGGGAGACATGTGGTTCCTTAGATAATGAGGCCCTGTATCACGTAGGGCTTTAAAGGTATTGTCCAGTATCTTGAACCACGAAGTGCAGATGCTACATTGGCATACCAAGGCATGACCATCACTGCCTGCACTGCTGCATTCTGGACCAATTGAAACTTTTGAGTGGTCTTCAAAGGTAGAACTGTGTAGAACATGCTACAGTAGTTAGGTCGTGGGGTGACCAGGGCATCAGTGACTATCTGAAGAGCCTCCCAATCTAAGAAAGGACAGAACTGGTGCACCAGATGAAGCTGGGCAAAGGCCTTCCTGGCTAAGGCTACAATCTGTTCCTCAAGCAGGAGCCGTGAGCCTAGGAAGACTGCCAGATTGCATACTCTTAAATGGAGAAATGCAATCCCACCCAGTCAGAGATGGAATATCTCCAGATCTGATAGACCAAACATCCACAGCCCCTTAATTTTGATGGGATTGAGTCAGAGATGGTTCCTTCCTGTCCAAATCTGTATAGCTTCCAGACACAGGAATAGAACATCAACAGTCTCACTTGGCCAATCCAGAGTCATCAGTGTATCAAACCTCAAACCAGTGGATGACCTAACACAGTAATTAAAAGGAGAGGAGAAGAATGGAGCGATGTGAGTTCCCTCAGAAGAGGGGCCAAGAGAATGATCTCTCTCTCCTCTGCCCCCAACAATACCAACAGGAATCGGCCCAGAGAAAGGAAGAGAACCACTGTATATGTGTGTCTCAATTTCCCAGCCCATGGAATTGACTTAGAAGGATACTGTGGTTGACAATGTTGATCAAGAGCACAAAGGATGGATGCACCAGCTTCATCCTGGTTCTACCATATCATCTACATCAATAACCAAAGCTGTCTCATTACTAAATCCCAGCCTGAAGCTTGACAGAAATGGGCTCGGATAATCCATTTCCTCCAGGTTTTCACCAGCTACAGACTGATCACCTTGTCAACAACTTTTCCCAGAAAGGAAAGGTTGGAGACTGGATGATAGTTATCAAAAACCCATTGGGTCCATGATGGCTGTCATCACTGGCTCTTTCAAGGCAAGAGGCATCATCCCCTTTGTCAAAGAGGCTGACGCTACAGAATGGACCCAACCATAGATAAACATTTTTGCTAGTTTTTTATGGCAGGTTGAATCCATGAGAAAATGATGTCAGTCAGTGTTCCCAGATAAAGAGCTTCTAGCACTATATAACCTGTTGTGTTTATTTTGTATTTTCCTGCTTAACATTTTGGTGAAAATAAATAGAAATAATGGGCTACAAATAGAAGGCACTTTTATATTGTCTGAATCCAATTTGACATGTGATCAAATGAGGAAGAGAAATTGGCACAATAAACCCCACCTATAAAACACGCAATTTGAGAGGGCAAATCAGATTTTAAAGAGGTCAAAATTCAATTGCTGAAGTATGGGTGATATAGAGTTATTTGCTTACTGTATATTTGATACAGTAAATGCAAAGGCTTCTCTTTATTGCAGGTCAAGGTGGAGAACCAGTATGATTTCCAGGACATTGCCAGTGTTGTAGCTCTCACCAAGACCTATGCCACTTCAGAACCTTTTATTGATGCCAAGTATGATATCCGTATACAGAAGATTGGCAATAACTACAAAGCCTACATGTGAGTCTGGAAAAAATCCTCGTGTTTATATCTCTTTACTCTTAGCAAATGTTGCAACTTCCCCATAGAAGCTTCTTGACCTGCACTTGATCCCACCATTACTTAAATCAACTTCCTTTCTACTTTGCCTCCTCCGTTCAGCAGAATGATGTCTTCCATGAAGCTTTATTGATCCTGGTCAGCATTTTCAAATCACTTTCTAGAAACAATCCTGGAAGAGGTGACCATGTGCAAAAGTTCGGGTCTTACATCTTTAATAATTGATCTACATGGGAATTTTGGCAAACACACATTGTCATATAACAGTAAATATCTACACTTGCTAAAATTCTAAAAAAGTTTTTTTTTTTACAAACTATGAGAGATATGTACGCCCCCTCCTTTGGACTGTATATGTCAAGGGTCTTCAAACTTGGCCCTTTTATGACTTATGGACTTCAACTCCCAGGCACGCTGGCTGAGGAATTCTGGGAATTGAAGTCCACAAGTCATAAAAGGGCTAAGTTTGAAGACCCCTGGCATATGTGCTATTAGATAGTACTTACTTTGAGGACTCAGTTTCTTAAAATACTGTATTTAATATACCCTTTATCTGACAAACCCCATTTGAATTAATTTCCCCTTTTCAGTCTCTATCAATCTCTTTCTTGATGTTATTAACCTCCTTTTTCAAGGAAAAATTTGCTCTCTGGATCTTTAGTACTCATAATGCCCTCTCTCTTTTCCCTGACAGGAGGACCTCTGTTTCAGGCAACTGGAAAACCAATACTGGCTCTGCCATGTTGGAGCAAATAGCTATGTCAGATAGGTGAGTGGCGGGGGTGGGGAAACATGATTGGGTAGGGATTTAAAATAAATGGCATAGAATAAATGGTCTCTTCCTCTCTATGGCTTCTCACGATCTTCTCTGGGCTAAATATACGTGAGTGAAAGTGATAAAATTAGGAGGGCTCTGTACTTGAACTTTTATAGTTTTGTTCATAAGTTTGTCTCTTTTCTTGATCTTTTCCATTCTGTGGTAGGTACAAGCTATGGGTGGACACTTGTTCAGAAATTTTTGGTGGTTTGGACATTTGTGCAGTAGAAGCTCTGCATGGCAAGGATGGACGTGACCACATTATTGAGGTGAAGTGCTGGGAATGCTTATATTTTAACTAATATACCAGGGAACACAAACCTTTCAAAAAATGCTAAAAGAAGGGAAGATTAGAATTTATAAGATACAGAGCCAGATTAAAAGATTGTTTTTTGTTTTTTAAATTGAAGATTTTTAAGCAAATCAGCTCTTTTTAACAAGTTTGTTCTGGAAACAATGAAACCTCAGTATACAGTACATGTGTTTTTAGGGTACCGGGATAGTATTGTATTCTCTCAGGCCAAAGAGATTTGAGTTGAAATACATTTTCATCTGCGATGGTCACTAGTTGGCATCAGGCCAATTACATTCTCTCTCTCCTTTTACTCAAAAAATTCAGCACTAATTTAGTCTCTCAGGGAACCTCTGTCATTGCTATTGTTGCAAAAAACCTTGTGGATATTTACTGAAAAGATTTGGAGGATGGTTTGGAAAAACCTTGATCCA